AGTTTTGACTCCTTTTGCTTGTCCATGTCTGGGTCCAGTGTTCTTCACTATAGAAACCAGAGCTGAGATATAACCTTTGGTTCCACCTGCATTCCCTCTCCCGTAAAGCCTTGAGCACCTGTTGAGTCCAGGCCTTTGTCGTTGGCTGTAGGGGGGCCGGGCGGTTCTGTGTCTCTATGGTTACTCCAACCAGCAGCCGGACGGGCTCAGTTTCCCCGACGACGTGTGCGACCCCGACGTGGGAAAAGTGGCCGCCGTCACGCTGGAGGTGATGAGTCTGAGGATGGAGCTGGAGATGCTCATCAAGGTGTGTGCAAACAGGACTGGTTCTGCTCGTTATCTCACCATGTTCTGTTTAGGAACCACTGAGGAACCACTGACCAGCTTTAGATGTTGTTTAAATACTGGATCCCCTCCATGGCAATACATCCCAGCTCCTGGTCAGGCTAATGCTAACTTTATTATAAACGCCTGTTAGAAACGGACTGGTTCTGCTCGTTATCTCACCATGTTCTCTTTGTGGAACCACTTAGGAACCACTGAGTAGCTTTAGATGTTGTTTAAATAGCAAATAGCAAAGGTCCCAGCTACTAGTCAGGCTAATGCTAACTGTAATACGGTATCTATGCTAAAGTCAAACCAAACAGGATTGGTTCTGCTCGTTATCTCACCATGTTCTGTTTGAGGAACCACTGAGGAACCACTGAGGAACCACTGAGTAGCTTTAGATGTTGTTTAAATAGCAAATGGCAAACGTCCCAGCTCCTGGTCAGGCTAATGCTAACTTTATTATAAACGCCTGTTAGAAACGGACTGGTTCTGCTCGCTATCTCACCATGTTCTCTTTGAGGAACCACTGAGGAACTACTGAGTAGCTTTAGATGTCGTTTAAATAGCAAATGGCAAACGTCCCAGCTCCTGGTTAGCCTGATGCTAACTGTAATTCGGTATCTATGCTAAAGTCAAACCAAACGTGAGGCTCCTGCTTTAAAACCTTCAGATCACTGAACAGACACAAGTTAAACCTGCTTATTGAGCTGTTTAAAAACTGTCTAGAGGAATGTTTTATGGACCTTTGGGAGGATTTATGGCCAGAAACTGCTTTGTTTTCTTTGAGTTTGTTCATCTTTCTCCTTAACTCATTGGCTGCCAAAGTCGTCTATAGAGGTCTTTTATGTTTTTAACCAGAGTGTCTGGGGGACGATCTGCTAAAGCTTGTCCGTAAATATGGGCTTCTAGACAGAGTATGTAGTAACAAATTGACCCTCTATGGGGCA